CCAACATCCATCATTTTAATTGTACAATCAAGTACAAACCACTTTGACTTGTAAACTTCTCCAAAACATTCTTTACTTATAAAATCCATGATTTTAAGACTTTTCATGTTTGATAATAGTTTTAAAGCATCCAATTTCTAATCTTTTATGCAACACAAGTCTTTCAATATTTGCAATAAATGTTATGCTAATCCATGTTGTTGATGGCATTCTTCACTTTTAATAATCAAGCTTTTATATAAATATTTTTCATCACCTTTTACATTATTATAAGCTGCAACATCAAACGTACCACTTATTTTGTCTTCAAATTTGTTAGGATTGTGCTTTACAAGCATATCACTTACTATATTACAACAAGTCTTCAAATTCCAAAGTAACTCTCTGAATGTTTCTTTGTTCTTCATTTGAAATATAGTTGCTTCACACAAATTATTTTCTCCACAATGCTTTATCAATAAGTAAGCTTTTTCCAATACAAAATATAACTCACTTAATAAAGGCCTATACTCTAATCCATTGTTATTACATACCAATAAACAATTAAAAACCTTTATTACATTTTCAATTTTCTTGTGTTGATTTACATATTAGTTTTTATTCAATAAGTCTTTTTCTTCAATAGAACCTCTAATGCTCTAACATATGCTTGACATTCTTTCCATATATCTCCTCCAATGCCTTAAATGATTGATATTGTACTAATATTTTGAATACTATCTTCATGTTGTTCTACATTGGTTAGAAATCTTTGCTTTCAAAAACTTCATACAAATATTTGTATGTTTCATAAACTCTCTTTGATTAATTCCACAAGATGCCTTATAAAGAATCACTTCTTATTTCAATTTATCTTATCACCACACATTTGCAATTGCACATTATATTTACTATGTATTTTAAAAGATTTATTATATACTTATTTATTTATATTACTACATCATACATATACTTTTCATTTTTATAAACTAAACTTAAAATTCAAAGACTAAATCTTCAAGCCTAAGTAATCTCACAACTTATAATTAATCCTTGCATGTATTCTAACAATCTATTTCTATTTTGTAATAATATTGCAACTTTTACTAGACATAAATATAATTTTCAATTCTAGCTCACCTCAAAATCTAAATTATAGTCTTTCATCTTAAATGACTCCTTTCTTAAAGCATTCACTGACAAATACTTTGCTACATGACCAAAATAGTCCAATAACAAGGCAAAAGTATACAAGATTTACATGCATTGTATTAAGTCATTTCAATATATCTACCATTTTTCTATTCAAAATATAATTAAAAAAATAACAACTAAAATTCCAAGAAACTCCCAATGTATTACACTAGTATACATCTTCGTCCTTGCTCCTAAATCTGCATATCCAAGATCTCAAAATTAGACATATTTCCTCCAATGGTTACGATTGTGCAAAGTTTATAACAAATCATGTGCTGCTTAAACCTTCCAAGCAGCTAGAACTAGTTTCACTCAATGATTCACTTGTGCGCTACATGCAAGATCATGTTCACTCCATTCCATCATTCTGCAATCAAGAATCAAAAAACATTCCAAAGTTGTAGTTGGTCTACCGACTCCGTCTAAACTTGTATATGAAGAAAACCTCCATCGCGATAATTCGAAAACTCAAGTGTTTATGAATTTTTCCAGACGACAACAGAAGCTAGCTAATGAAAATGGAAAACACTTCCTCCCATATTGGATTTGTAACCATATCAACATCCAACTAGACATCCTCCCCAAAAAAACACCTTTAAAAGCCAATTGCTGAGTTGTCTGAGCATCAAGAAATCCCATCTGTACTTTCATACTCAAAACCCTAAACCAACACGACGGACCATTCAGCTTGAGGCAAAGACGATCGCGAGTGGAAAAAAAATTCAGCATCACTGCTTTACAGCTACGTCGACCACAAAGTGTCGTGTTATGAACAGAGAGCACGACCCAGACTGAAAAAGAAACGACATATTGTTTTTTTAAAACTTGCGCACTTCCTAACACTCCCTTCAAAGCAAACCTCACCACACATGCATGCTCAAATTCAAAAACTGCAGCCATCGAATACAATTGTAAAACGCATTCGGGCAGCACTGTTACTAACCAAAATGACAACCCAGAATACAACACTGTGGACAGCACCATAAAAAGGTGGGACAAAAATGTGATGAGCTCGATCGAGTCTCTTAGTTCTTTACCAGACAAATTCACAATATGTGCAAAAAGATAGATGAAGTAGCCCATTGAGACATGTCACGGTAGCAGTACCACTGTTAGAAACCGTGGGCGAGTGACACCACTTTGATGGTCAAGGGTGAGAGTTTCCAAAAAAATTCCTAATAGAGTCGCTCGGAGAATGAAAATAAAGGCCATTGAAACTACAAGCCATATCAGTTTTTGTTTCATGGAAGTAAACAACGTAGCTGGCTGCATTGATTGTTAGTCGAAAAAGGATCTTTTCAACAAATTAAACTTAAGAGTAAAACACATCTGCTTGTCTACCCAATAATTGGCATTGACTTCAATTTCAAATCGTGCGACATGCGCAAATTGATGCCCTTAAAACAAGAATATCTATGGAAGACCCAGTAAGATAAGTTAAAGTCAGGAAAACATTCGCCTCAACAGTGTTTCATTTATCAGTACTGCTAAGGTTCTGAAGTGTTCACAAAAAGCATTTTTGAAGTTGAAGCTTAAGCCCAAGCTCTTCCTTAAAGAGATTCTATAAGCAAAGACCGGAACTTTAGAATGTTATCGTGCTATTGCTAAACTCTTGTCTATGGTGGAGTAAGCGTAACTCATCTGAACTGCCCAGCGTTACAAAGTAAGGCTTCAAATTAGCGATTAGGTGATGCGTTTAACTGAAGATCCGTTACGAGTGATGGGTTCTAAAAACTCAAATTAAATAAACTGTAAGTTTCTAAGCACAGATAAGACAAAATAAAAAGAAAGAAGATACTATTGCAGTACTAAAACTTTTCTACTCTGTTCTGCAATATCTCTACATACTAAAATGACAAAATAACCTAAATGCGGAAAGAAGAACAGCCACATACATACACACAACACAATCTTATTGATCTGGAAAATCATCCTGCGTAAGGATATAGCACCCGCTATACTTTCAGACTACTTCAAACCCTTTTTCACCCATGCCGCGACCAATGTTCCCAGATTTAATACAGAATAAATAAATAAATAATTTAATTTTCGGTTTCTTTCACCACAATTCAGCTCACGATGTATCCTTAAATGAACATTCATGCTTAAAATTCAAAATGAAAACAAAAAAAAGGGGAGCAAGCCGTTTCAACCACCATTGTCTCATACAATTTGAGGAATACAATGCCGACCCACTCAGTCTGCGGCCACACCTGCATCAGGTGTTAACCGCGTCCCATTACTACCTACTCTGAACTAGAGCGCTGTGAGTGCACCCCATCAATGTTGAATTGACAATCGCGGTGGTTAACTAAAACAGAATAACGACGAATTTTCAACTGTAAGCGGCCAGCCTTATCTTGAGAGCTACTCGTATAGTAAATATGGCGAAGTCCGGTTAGAAGAGGTTGCTGCATCGAAAGCGTTAAGGTCTGCACTGGCGAACAAGTAATGTTGCTTGTTAATGCAGATTGAAGAGTTATGTAGGGTTAATAAATAGAATCTGCAGTAATGGATTCTGGCACGAAGGACTAGGTCCACAACAGACAAGGTGCTGCGGCCTGTTTCCATCGCCGCTGCATCCCAGCCCAGCCCTAAATAGAGAGAGAAGGGGGTGGTGCTCCAAGTGGGAAGATGGAGCCACTTCTCTCCGCACCCTCGAGTTTGAACGAGCTCCATTTTCACAACACATTCCCCCACCCAAGTTTATGCTTCCCCATGCAAAAGAACAGTGCTTTTTTAGTATAATGTTAGCTTTTTAAATTCAAAATATCGTTGATTTTTATTTATTTTTATATGTATACACACAATGCAAGTAGCTTTATATGTAAATTTACTATTTTTATGTATACATCATAAACTTTGTTTTCCAAGTTATTTTGTTTGAATTATTTCTGATGGACTCTTTTTTGAAATAATTTTATTATACTTCCACATTCTGATTTACATTTATTTCAAATGCTCTTATAGGTGCCCAATTTTCAAAATCTAATAAAAAATAATATTTTATTTAAATTGTTGTAAATTACATTTTCTATATATATTTTACAATCTATAACCTTGGGTATTATATCAGTATTGTTTGAAACTTACATTAATTTCGTTAACAGTAGTTTCAATGTATTTTGTATTTATGTACTTATTGCTGAAGTATTTGTATACGTTTAAATACGTATGTTTACATAATGTTACTTTTACATGTAAGCCATTGTTCTGATTTTTACCATGAAAGAATTGAAGTATATCATACTGATCAGCTTGAACAGAGCATTTTTATCCACCAGTCGTGAAGGTGAACTCTTCACTAGGGCATGCCGCTTGAGTTGAGGTAGAAAAGAATTTCACAAATTCCCATGGGTGACTTAATCGATAATGTGGAATGACTCAACCAACTTGTGCGGTGGTACATACATCCTTTGCAGATCAAGTATATGGATAAAGAGTATGTATATGTTCATCTACTATCACAATACCAATAGATAACACATCAGTGTTATAAGAACAGTACGAGGGAGATAACATAGTTTAGTTGAGAGATATGATCTGACTGCGGCGATATGGTAGCTTGTGTACATTTTCTCTTCTTAAGTGGTTGTGTGCTAGTCGCGTCAGAGTGAAATGTGTAGTCGAACATACAATCAAACGGGTGTGATTGACACTCGAATTGGCTGGTCTACGAAGAAAGTGGAATTGAGAAGGACTTCAGTTACGTGACTGTTGCAGCCAGTATTTTCGGACACAGCAACGACAAACAGCAAGCACCACAAGAGTACTAAGCTTGGCAACACACAATCATAAGGAACGCATAAGTTCTCTACGCAGCATTTACAATGACACATCCATCGGAAAGAATGAATTCAGGCCTCACGTTCCCCGCATCATAGTATTCCACGTCTGACTACAAGGCATGAGTGGTATACACATCTCCTGTTTAAATAGTAAGATTCTGAAGATCCTCCCCAACGAGATAGCGGCACAAGAATTCACAATCCGCAGCCCTCCATTTAGCCACCCTAAAAGCTCAAACGACAAACTTTTCCCAGCGAGATCGAGGCGGCTCCTCTTCACAGCTGCCTACTTCGATCTCTGCCTCATCTTTCGGCGCTTGCGTTTCAGGCGCCTCATACGTTTCTTCTTCCACTGTTACAAAACACGTGTTCCGACACCATGACCAAGGGCTATACCCAGACGAAGAGAAAAGCAGTAAAACAGAAAATAATGAATCAAATATCTTCGGTATGGCCCTAACTCGCCACCTAACCTTTACATAGCCCAAACTTCAGACATGCAAAGTTTCATTCCTCCGAAGGGAGGTCACGTGGGCAATATCCCAGCATTCCAACAACGTTCCCCTCCAAACCAAAACCAAACAACACAGGAACCTAGGTACAAAGACGGAACAAAAATAAAGGAGTGTGACATACCTTAGCCCTCATGATTCCACAAGCAATGAGACTTCCAGCCCGCCGGCAGCTAGGAGAAAGAGGCAGATGTTGAGTTCGAAGGCTGCATATGAAGCCTTCGGCACTGTTCTACCGAAACCCTAACCCTAAAACCTGCGAGGGTCCACCGTGTCATGTCCACGTCACTTATGTCACGTCGTACCGATTCATCCCCCGCAGTGTGAACGGAATCGACTGCAACTGCACTGACCCCACCATTTATTTTCCTTCCAACCTCTTGAATGGGTATCTCTATTGAAGTGGTTTTTATTGTTTATATCTGTTCTGTTTTAAGCAAGATGCTCTTTTGTTGTACCTATGTAGATAATTCGAATGATGAAATTTTATTTTTTATTCTAAATCTAAATTTGAATTATACTTCTTTATAGCTTGAAAAGTCACCAGTTTTGAGAAATGATGTTATTCAATATTTCGTCTGATATATATCTTGATAATAAGACTTAACATGTGAAACCATGCATGTCATGGACTTGATCATCTTTTTGTGGAAAATAAAAATGTAATAGATGTATGACAGGACATTTGATTGGTGATTGATTAAATGATATGGCTATCAATATTAATTTTACAATTAATGAAAGTGATATCTTAACATATTAAAAATTTCGACCAAAGAACACACCATTGATTTCATGTAAAGATCTAAAATATGTAAGTAATCATCCGCATCAAATGAATTATTTACAAAAGAAGCAAAATTTTATGTGTATATATGTATGTATATCTGTATGTACGTATACATTCACATATAAAATAAGGTACAATACATTTGAGATAGTGTAAAGAAGTGGTTTTACACAACAATCAAATACACTCTTTTTACATAGATCACAAAATTTAGCTTGTAGTTGAGGATTTTTTTAAAAAAAAATAAGATAGCAATAAGATTATAAAAATAATATATATATATATATATATATATATATATATATTAGACAATAAAATATAAATATTTTCTTATTTTATTGTATTTTAAATTCTTAAGGGATAAAACTTTAAATTTAGCATGTAATTTAGATTGAGAAGATTATATGATTGTAAAAATTTAGAAAAATTAATATGTTTACTGGTTGTAAAGACAATACTATAACCAACTGATTTTTGAGTGCGTGTATAATTATAATATATATATATATATATGTGTGTGTGTGTGTGTGTGTGTTTGTATATAATTTGTAAAATGCATAATATTAAATAATAATATGTTTTTTAAAATATTTTTTATTTTAATTTTAAATTTTTTCTTTTATAAAATAATTAATTTTAAATTTTAGTTTTGATTTTTTAAAAAACTTTTATGGATTAGTGTTTTGAATTGCAATTCAAAAAATAATTTAAAATTAATATTAAAATGAGAATAAAATACCTAATAATAAATTCCATAAATATATATATATATATATTCTCTATGATATAAGGAATATAGTATTTCAGATCAAACACCAAGAGAACTCATTCTTAGAAATTTTTAGACAAAACAAAATTTGAGTACATTGACCATCTTGAAGTAAATTAATCTTGTGTTGTATTATTTGCAGTTCCACCAATACACACTGAACCTATAAAGAATCTTAAGCTTTTGAATAAGTTTAATAATAATTTAGAATTCGCAATCAATTCTAAATAGTTAAGCCACAATATATAGTAGTTTTAAGAATTTCCAGTATTCTATAACAGAACATGAATTAAATTGTTACAAAGTCCATTTGAACATGTGTGTTTTTGTGACTTTTATTTATACACGTTTTTCTTGGAAAAGAAGAGGAAGAAGAAGAAGAATTGTTTTGATGATTTAGGGGAAAAAAGGAAAAAGAAAAAGAAAGGAATCGATAAAATTTATTTAATCATGCCAATAAATTGTTTGAACATAATCTTTTTGTAATATTTGTAATATTTAAGAAAATTTTATTTAAAAAAAAAATCGTAAAAAGACATTTGATGTATCTTTCAAAAAATCAATTGCAATTATATACATCCTAAATACAATTTTTTTCTTCTAAAAATATTTTATTTTGAATTCAAAATTTTTTGTGAGCTTATTTTAAGAGATTTTTGTGTCCTGGAATGCAAAGAAAAGTTCAAACAATTTTACTACTCGTCCTTGAATACATTATTTTATCATTATGTACACAAACTTCTCTAAGATTTAAAAAAAAAAAAAAAAAAAAAAAAAAAATCATCCACTTTAAATTGTCTTTATTGGAAATATATTTTAAGATTAAATCTCCAAAATTTTGTATTTGTAATAGTGCTTTACTTAACTAAAATGATAAGAATAAAGAAAGGACCAACAATCAAATGATAAGAATAAAGAAAGGACCAACAATCAAATGATAAGAATAAGAAAAAAGTTGATTTAAAAAAATTACTCATTCAATACTTACTTCTGTTCCCTTTTGTAATATTTTCGTGTTATGCCTTCGAAATTTTTCTTTTGCAAGGTGGAAGATTTGTATTCTAAATTTTCATTTTACAAACCAATGTTTTAAAAATACTTAAATAAATCTTATAGATTTTTACAACCCTTATGACATAAATTTAAGGTGAAGATATGTAATAATTCCATGATTTTTTAAAAATATAACAAAATCTAATTTATCTAGTACCACAATCTTAAACCACATTCTTGATACTTAATAATATTATTAGAGATCAATTTTATAGTCAATAGAATTGTATATGTCTGTTCTACAATTATTTTAAAAATATGAATATAAATTGAATAATTTAATTTATTTCTTTTCAAGATTTAAAAAACTTGGATGTCTATAAAGACTTATCAATCACCTTAATGCTAAGCATAAATTAAATATTTTGATGGATACCATTTAACATCTTTTTGATTTCATGAAGTTGTTTAAGAAATTAAAAAAATATACATATATAAATCAAATTTATCATATTGAATAATTATACCCAAATAAAAATATTTCAAATATATAATACTATGTATATAATTTCTAAAGATATAAAATAACATTATGTTTATTATTTCTTTCAAAATAAAAATTTAAATCATTATTTCATAAAAATTAAATTCACACTATTATTTTATAATATATATTCATATAATATAATAAAATATATAAAATAAAATAAAATAAAATATACAATACAATATAAAATAATATAATATAATATGTATATTTTATAATATTTTATATATATATTTTTATTTGAATTATTATTTGTAATATCTACTTGACATTTATGCATTTATTCAATATGAGAATTGTTTAAATACTGATAGTTTGTTTAATTATGTAATCTAAATTTTATTTTTATTATGTGTATATATACATATATATTAAAAATATTTTATTAGCTTTTGGTAATGTTATTTTTAATTTATTTTCATGTAGTTATACTTGTACAATTAATGTGTGTATTTTTTACACTTGTACATTTTATTTAATCTAATTAATTTTTTTTGTACAAAATATGTGCAATTTATTGTTATATTCTACAATAGTAAATATCAATAGTTTGGTTGAACATATTCTTTTTGAAGTAAGAGCTTCTTATGTTAGTTGAAAAATGTGAAGATTAATCGAAAAGTTTCTAATATTAATTATGAATATAATAGTTTTGTCATAGTTATTTCTGAGAAGAGAATACTCACAATGGAATCAAACAAGAGGAGTTTCTTCCATCCATGCTTGAGGAGTGTGTTCTTTCCAAACACTACAGATCAAAGCACTCCCACGATGTTTAACATTGAGTGTGATTATAAATCACTTCTACAAACAACCTTGCTTCTTAGTTGAATCGAAACCCTAACTTTCCAATATAAATCAAAGTGTAAGCCTTTGGCATCAATACTCATTTTACAGTTGGGAGTTCTCAACTTCAGGATCCACAACACAACAGGATATTCAAAAGGGGGTTCATCTGATGCATATCGACCATCAATAAGACAACAAAAGTGAAGTTTCGTATTCCAATCTGCTTTAGAATACAAGAGTTGAAAAAATGATGTGGGTCCTACTTGTGTGCAACACTCGATGCACCATCACTTCTCATGTTTAGTAATTGATCCCTACTGTGACAGCGAAGTTATTTCTGCATTTACAGGAGAATCGACCTTCGAGGAACTTCGGGGCGGAATAATGCCTCACAATTTCCTCTATCGTTGTGGCTACTTGTTGATATACCTGCTGATCTATACTCGGTCTAGGCACGAATGGAAGTTGCAATGGAGGGGGGCTTTACAAATGAAAAAAACGTGGTCTTTCCAAGGACTAGCAGGAGTTCAGCCTTGTTGGGATCGTGTGGCAAAGGGCATCGTTTCTTGCAATGGCTTCAAGCTCCTCGTTTTGTCGCTGCAGGTTGTTGTAAGACGATCTTAAAATCTTGTATTGATTCTCTGTTTGAGTTGAAATTGCTTCTAGCTCTTCAAGTTGCTTCTGCAAATCCTTGAGGTAGAAGATAGCATCGCCTAGAATGGATGCTTTATCTGCCTGTAGCACAGAACAAACTAATTAGATCGAACATAATACACTGTAAGATGAGAGCAAGAGAAACGTACCACGAGTCAGAAAACAGAGGAAATGAACTCTAGATATACACAGAATCATACCTTAGAAATGATGGGCACCAGTTTCCTCAAAGCATTGAAGTTTTCTTTTTGTTTCACTCTGCGACGCCTCTCTGCCAACATATGGTTTGTGGCTGCTTCACCATGAGCTCTATGTACTTGGTCTGTTCTTGGAATCCTTGATCCCCTACAAGGACGTTTGCGACCACTCCACGGTGCATCCTGTGATAAATGAAAACGAGAAAAAAACAGAAAGTGAGATCCTAATATCTATGACTATTGAATATGTAAGACCTAATTATGCACGTACGATGCAATAGTTAGTGACGCATATGTATGTCACTAAGTAACTGTGTTGAAGAGAAAGCTCATCAGTAATTCCACAATACACCAGCTCGACAAACAACAACTATTATGCATGCTGCGAATATCTAGAGGATTTCCTCAAAATCAAGTGTAACATCATGTCGAGATTGATATCCGTACTTGTCCAAATGGATCACGCGCTTCGTCAGCATCTTTCGAGGCCTTCGGACTAGAGCAAGACGCCAACGGTGGCTGTTGTTGTTCAATGTTCGGTGGAGCAGATCCACTCGCTTGAATTCCTTGCTGTAAATTGGGTATTTGTTTCATTATTTCAACAGCTTTTCGCACAAGCTTCTGACTACTACCGTCAAAATTTGTGTTGAAAATTGGGGCCAGGACGTGTGCCCGTGGGCATGACTTCGAGTCAGGCTGTTCACCGTGATCTTCAGCTAGGATACTGGCAAAAGACCTCAACAAGTTTCTTTCACTCGCATTACCAGATTTCAGAGACGGATTGTACACATGTTGCAAGTCTTCCTGAGTGCTCAACTCCACCTCTTCATTTTGCATGAAGCTGAATGCTTTCTGAGATCCTTCATGTTGTGGAAGTGACTGGAAAGCTGTTATTGGGTCTGTGTTGGTGTCATGAAGCTCATTCATCGATTCAGGGCTGTGAGGTGATCCGCCTCTGCAATGGACCAGCACAAATTATCACGACTTGAATTGGGTCGTGGCAGATTAATTGTACATGCAGTTGAGTCATGAGGATGAATAAAAGAATTAGGCCTTCAAGAGTTCGATGTATTGTAAACTTACCCTCTTGGAAGTGAGCGTGAATTCGGACTGGAGTTGCAGCGCACACTGGACGTCATGCACTGAGACATGTGAAGTTGCTCCGGGGAGTTATCAGAAAGCCTGGTATTGAATCGATCCTCTAAGCTACTCCCACTGGTAGAAGTGGTAGCAGACTGAGACCTATGCTGACCCCTACATGGTATGGATTGTGGAGGCATTTGGTCTGCAGGCTGAGACTGCAGTATGCCACAAGTGGGTTTTGATGTTGTAGGAATTGTCCACAGTGCAGGATCTAGGAGTAAGTCTGTGTCCGATCCACTGCCCATTTCTACCGTGTTCAGACTTGTGGGGGCTTTGGTCAATCTGGACATCACTAATACATTGTTCAGTTATAGCAATTCTAGTGAAACTTTGATATGATGTCACCCATAAAATCCAAGGAATCTAAGAAGAAGAACCGATAAAGGAACCTGATTGTTGGAGCTGTCAAACAAGTATTTTTGCGAGTGTAATACATTATCCTAACTGCGAATGAGGTCTATGGCTTAAGGTGTAAATTCAGTACCTTCTCATCTGCTGGTTCAGGGAGTTTGGGTCAAATTCTTGGTAGTTCAAATCACCTGACAGATGCCCCATGGAGCTATACGACGAAAAAGGAGATCCTATGTTGTAAACAATAGGGGGAGAATTTGGAGGACTTTGAGAGGTGCCGAGAAGTGCTGGAAGTATTCTTTCGGTTATGAAGATGCGAATTCGCTCCATCAGCTTAAGATCTTCAGCCACCTGGTAGATTGTAACATGTTCAACGTGAGGTTAAACCTCATGATATAATCCTCGATAATAAACACGTCGAATATAAATATCGCTATGGTTTTTTACGATGGAAGAAACAAAATCAATAATCTTGAGTAATACCAATGATCGCCCAAATAGACTGCAGTATGATACTAAGTTTTATTTTAAGGCTCTTACATTTTCACATGTGCCGAGCTCTAGCACAATGTCGGACCAGGGGATGCATATCGCAGTCTGTCCATGGAAACACAGGACCACCATCAGATATACCTCCGAAGGATTTACCTCACAAGAAATGACGCAACATAATGTAAAGGCCACTTGATAGCATAAACAATTTTGATTTGGAATTTGACAGTGAAGCTGTGGGCCATGACAGTTGATTCATATTCCTCTATTTATGGAGATTATCCACGCAGAACACAATGCACACCACGAGATGATGACCAGGCGCTTACGTAGAGCGACCATCTTATAAACTATTAGTCAAGTAGTCAACGCTTTAATAACCGAGACCATCTCTCATAGTTATTGAACTCGTGCCTTTACCTGAATCCCAGCATGCCGCAAAAACTGGGCCTGCTCTGTGGATCCTGCAGATAGGTGCACTGCTGCTCCGTTCAACCAAATATGTCTTCCCTCTGCGTATGCTGTTCCAACAGACCTGAAAATGTTGACAACCAGTGGTGATAAGCCCCTCTATGACCAAGCACCATCCAAACTCTGAAGTCAGCAACATTTATAATTTGGCGTTAGGCATTCTATCTTGCTGCATTAACAGTTTTTCCAATCAATCAGTGGGGGGACTGTGGATTCATGACATTAGTCGAATATTGTTCAAAATACCGAAAGTTCATCAATCTTTAAACCCCATCGTCATCATAAGACCGTAGCGGTGAGATGGATCATAGGTCCGGAGAATGTTGCAAAGACATGAATGTTTAAGTTTTCGATATTTTCCGCTTGGAAGTTCAAACACTTCTCATTTATTACTTGGACCTTGGCGACTCTGCGACTTACTGATGCCGAATTTAGGATTTGAAACGTAGATATCTATAATCGGTCGTACCTACACCCCACTTGCTCCTCTGACGACCAGGGAACTCTGAAAGAGCACGATATCTTTTCGTATTCTGCGAGTTTAGAAGGTCTTACCCAAAGTTGGGAGTGAATGTGCAGGACTTGTACATGGAGTTAAGGATGTGTTCATTCGAAACTTCTCTGTCACCATGGCTTGTGATTGCTCTTGAACCTACGTTGAAGTGTCCCCCTCTCCATTCGAGGTTCCTGTGCAGAATAATCATGTTGCACGCGAAAATCATCCTGGTGTTCAAACTGCAAGTCGCAACCAACAAGTAGACGCTGAAAGAGAAGAGAAATTCAGTACAAAGCACGTCGTTTATGTACAGATACCGATCACTTGAGTATATCCACTCGTTACACTAGAGATAAGTCACAGCTATCCAGAGCCTCAATCTGTTACACTCTATTGTTTTCATTCAATTTCAGAGCATGAAGGAAACCTTGTCTGATGCAAGGTCTGCTGACTTAAAGACTAGAGGGCTACGTAAGTCCATCTTAGTTGTTGTAACAAACTCTGCAGCTCCCTTAGCACATGATGATGATGATCCAGGGAAGGCATTGTGACTTCACTGTGCATTTCAGGGTGTGAACTCAGTTTGACGACGGCGATTTGGTCACCTCATACAGAAGAAGTCTACTGATGCCTGTTCCTCTTTTCAAAACCTGCTTCAGCTTGCCTAAATATTCTTGCAGACCTCAAGCAGAGGAGAGAGAGCTCAAAGCCTGGAACGTACAACATTGAAGTTAATCTCGGTGGAATAAGACTAAGAACAAGACATACAACAGCTCAGGAAAATGGGCAAAGCATTTCCAGTGTAAATTGGTGACCATTCATTGATGTAGAATGACATACCTTTTGCGAGAGCATCAAAAGGCCTAGCGCAATAAATTCAAATGCATTGCGGAGTTCTGAGGTACTGCTCCTACTCATCCAAGTAATGCAGCGCAGGATGACTTGAATTCTTTCCCGACCTTCAAAAGCAATCGTCAAAACTCGAACCTTGCCAAGTAGATAAAGAATCGCACCACTTGCGAGCAAGCATTCCTATCAGGCAAACGCACACACACACACACACACACACACTCTCTCTCTCTCTCTCTCTCTCTCTCGCCCTCCCTCTACGATGCAGCTCTCTTCTGCCGGATTCAGTCGGCGCTACAACTATATTCAAATGTCTGTGGCCACCGAGACCGCAACATAATAAGGAAACCAGAGTCCAGCAGTGAAGAAGAAGCGCACTACTGTTGGCGTTCCCCACATGCTGGGTGTGATATTAAGAGCATCTGCTCGGAGCACAAGTCCCAGTTTGTCCCGATTCGCACACGTTCTTACCTTTCGGAAAAGGCGGTTTAAGTATTTCTAGCATGACCTAGTACAGGCTAAACGAATTCTAGCATTGACCAAGGCCTCCAGTCCCCACCCAATCTCCTTCCCCGCGCTTCCCGACCTCCTTTCGGGACTCTGGTGGCCATATCAGTAAATTCCGCAGGAGACCGAGACTCATCATCCAAAAATGCGACAAATCACACTTTCGTTTTTCCGTGTTGAACATTTTGGTCGATATCAAGGTTCCACTTCACCCAGGGGGAAGGGGGGGGGATGGAATGAGTATGGAGGTGAATTGCTGAATTCCAAACCTGAATTCATCATCGACCATTCTGTGTATCCCCATCTTTTCCGAGGCCGAACTCAACGGATTCCTCGCATCTCGATGGATAGAAGCGATTGGCCACCCACCATGTCACCGATCACTTATCATCGCCTGGCACGCACATAAAAAATTCCTGACCTTCGGTGGGGGCTCCATCGATCTGTTCCCTCGCTGTACATTCTTCTGCTCCGCACGCCTCTTGACTGGGATTGAGAACCAGGTTCTATCGCGCCGCAGGTCTTCGGGTTCGTCGTCTTGTGGGTGCTCCTTCGTCATCTTGTGGGGTGCTCCATTGTCGTCTTGTGCCTGGTGACTGGTGGGGTTTGGTGAGAGTTTTGAAGGGCGAAGAAGAGCATGTGGTGTTCCCCAACTACTTTCTCCTGGCGAAGAAAAAAATAAAAAAACAGAAGAAGAAGAGAGGGGGATAGGGCCTCAAAACACCTAGTGGTGTGAAAGGCAGATATCCTTTTCCTTCTTTCTTATTTTGGGGGTGTCAGTCAAGTGCAAAACGGCACCGACGGAAGCCTTGAAGGGCACCACAACTGGGAGGTCGTAGATCTTTGTGGAGCTGATTTGGGTCTCGCTTAATGAACCGAATATAGGTGAACACGGTGGGGACATGAGCCAACGTGCACATGCACAAAAAAATCTGACACTTTACAATGGACAGGAATAGGACACTGCACATTGATTATATGCACTTTGGAGGCCCCTCGAGCTGTCTTTGAATACTTTGATCCGAAGCTTTTAGTGGACAGGCAGTTGCATGACTCCCAAATGAGCTGTGGAGACCAGAATCAAGTTGTGGACAGTAGCTGTGAAATCTGTTCATACAGCTGCTATTACATGTACGAACCGGACAGAGCTATTTTTGCTTTGAACTTACCATCTATGGCCGTGAACGCAAAGCGTCCTTCAGTTCTAACGACAAAGATCTGTTTTTACTCGGGAAGCTTCACACTATTGCCTGTAGCGTTTTGCATAAGTGAACAACCTCTGTATATCGTTGATGGAGAGCAATCCAGAACTGGGATTGGATTGTATAATGGTCGATGATAGTTGGCTCAACTTCAAATTGATTCCTCCTAAAGATGTGCACTTTCTCACCCTCTTTTCTGCACGTTTCACTCAGAAGTATTAACATGTGGAAGTTCATATTCTAACGGGAATTGTGGGGTAAATACCATATATTTGGAAGAAGCAGTGTCAATCGGTTACTCCGGTACGTGCCTATTATAAGAACCTGGATCTTGAGTATCTGAACATTGCATCAACAAGAGACATCTGTTTCCTCCGTGCGAAGATAGAATATCCTGATGAGAATACACTTGTATTATGGACCAGCATTCAAGTACAAAAAATGTCTAGGTACCGATTTCTTCTATTCCAGAGTTTTTTGGCATTGATAGAAAGCCAGTCAGAAAAACACACAATCCTAGTGTAACTCACTCCAAGAGGAAAAGCAGTTGAACTCCCCTTCGAAAAAATGGTATGCCCATCTACACACCATCCACTGGGGCTTTTCTCATTACCTGTATAATGACATGCAGAAGTGACAAGCAACACAGGTGGTGATGGTTTGGGCATAACAAACTCAGGAATCGCAAGGTCAGAACAATCAAGAAAAAGCAATTTACTAAAGATCTCTACATGATTTGACATTGAATGCTCACCATTTACAATAGTTCTCAGCAAACAAATCATGCGCAGCCTCTACTGCCAAAGCCAAATCCAAACCCATATCCACTTCAAGCAATTCGATTCAACACGTCAAAATCAAAAACCCAAGTCATGCCCAAACCATCCCAGCCTTCACATACCCTGTCCAGTAGACACAATCGCTCTCCCTCAAACATAACAATTCTAGGGTTTTCAATCTTCCTCCAGGCAGCTGCCGACTACAGCGTGTTTCGCACCCATGCGCTTTAGCCAGCCAACAAATCTGACCACTACAGAACACGAAGACCACTGCATCGATTGAGTACGTCACTCGAATCTCACAACGCATACCGAAGTCGGAAGGCTACTTTTTCGCGAAGCATGGACCACAGCGAACAGAATCCTCAGGAATTAACTGCAGCTCATGTATGCTTCCGCAGCCATTCCTTCTTGAGATGAAAAACTGCGACCGATTTCCGGATTCACCGACACTGCCACTGACCCAATTGCGAATTCCACCCCCGACGAATCGGAATCCATTGTTTCAATCGCAAGTCGGCAAATTGATTAGTTGTGTGCACTCAGAGCGCGTCTATGACGTCGATCGAAGGCCATGCAGTAGGAAATTTGGCGCGACGGTGACGGGGGGGGGGGAGAATAATATTTATTCGGTATCGGTTTGAATGAATGAAATGAATGTGCGGAGCGAGAAGCTTCGTCGAAGAGGGTGCCCTTGGTACCCATAGGTACAACGATTGTTCCTGGGGCTTCTATTCCGTACATGTTAAATATGAGGATAGGACTTTGGATGGATGAACTGCGTAGTATGTGTTGGTGAATTTCATTCGTTTACTTATCACCCACAAACTCATCACCGGAAATATTCTCAAAAACAGCACGTTCCGTTTTATGAAGGTTCGTTCATCTTCGTTCTGTGAATAAACATCTGAATTTTATTTTGAGTATTAATGTCTATAATGAAAGAATATTCGTGTAAGCACTTCAGTTAATTATATATATATATATATAAATGTCTATATATATATATATATATTTAATGTTTTTATTTGATAATAACACAAATCCATGCTGTTGGGTATGAAAAATATTTTGATAAAAAATAAGGCAACATATGTGAAAGGGCAACGTACATTTTTGCATTGTAAAAAGTAAAAATCATGGAAAATATTTCGAATTTAAATAAGGTGAGACAAGACATTTAAATGTTCTCACTCTTAGAGGGCTTTGTCATAAACAATATTGTGCATTAACCCAATGTTCCCTTTTGAATTGCTCTCCAATGAAACCTTCATGTTTTCTAATAATGTTTCACATGAAAATACAACATATAACTTGATATAAGAGAAGACATTGTTTGTTAAATTTAACAATATTTGTCATTGTTTGCCCATAAGATTTTTTTATTATTGTTGCAAAAGCCATATGTAACAAACATTGTTTATAACTAAAAGCATAATGAAGAGTTGAATTTTTATTAGTCGATTCAATTCTAGAAATCAATGCAATGTGGCCAAAATTTTTTCTTGTAAAAACCTTAGTTTTAATGACTTAATTAGTAAAACATCTCATAATTAATTGACTTCTATTACAAACACCATTGGCCAAATTAAGATTACACAAAAGTATCAAAGGTGTGCCAAATTTTATAGACTATTAAGGATACAAAGTTCAAAGAAAGAAATCCTCAATACACTCTTGTGTCACTCAAAAGAACTAAAAAATCATTAAAAATGGTATGGTATTAAATTAAAATGGCTATTGCCAAAAACAAGAAAACTAAAAAGTCTTGAAACAAAACTAATGACTAAAAAGGCATTGACAAGAGTAAAGAAGGCTTCATTCTTACCTCCATATTTACTCTTAACTAGGAGCTATGTGGTAATATCCTATAGGACCTCTAAAATGTGTTGACTTTGCAAGACACATATCTTAACTTACAAAGTAAGTTTTTTATATATACATTACATAATTAGCTTGTTCCACATGATACTAATATGTGGTTAACTTATTTATGAAGTTTTTATCATATTAATTAACTACAAAGACATGTAAAGTCAAAGTAGCATCTATGAAGTTTCTCTAATTTTTTTTTATAAAATAAATCTATTTTTATATACTTCTACTTAATCATATAGATAAATATTATAATAAATATGTATGTTTGTGACATTATCCCTTCTTTTAGGAATGAGTTCCACAATGAGTGGTTATTATATATTGAAAAAAATCTAAAATAAGGCAAATTGTGTTTTCTATATACTTTGATCTTTGTTCTCTTTAAAGATGGTTGATTAACCATCAATAGTAGCCCATATCAAGGTAGAAAGGCCACCTTGTTATTTGATTGTTATTGAGGCTTTTGTAACTTTCTTCAAATAAAACATTTAAAACACCGTCAGAAGTCATTCCAACCTCTAATAAAATTATCAAACATTAGAAGTCTCTTCCAAGGTCGTAATACCAAATATATTATACTTTATCATCTATTCAAGGAAAGACATGTCATTCTTGAAGATCTTAATCTTGATTACATTGTCTTGAAGGTTATGAAAATTGCAATATTTTTTCTGATAAGTCAGCAAGTGATAGATCTTAAGTTGAATCTAGTGGTTGTTGGTTCTCCATATTTTTTAGTATCACAAATGCACAAAAGTACCAAACAAGAATAGAAGATTGAATGCTATCTTTTCTAGATGTTGTTTCTTTTATAGCAAAGATTTGCTATTCTTTATCTTAATTTTGATAGATTTCATTGATGAATAATCTCAACCTTTTTTATTTCATTTGCAAGATTTTTTATTAGCTTCCATGTACATTCATTAATATCATATCCATGCTAATGAGCAAGATATTCTAATCTGTTTTGGTGCAGCTTTAATTGAAATACTTCTTCAACCTCAAATTCTTAATTATTATCTACTTCTTTAAGAAGAGGTGGCATTTATATTCTTCTTGAGATATTCATTGTCTTATACGGATGAAGAAGAGACACATGATATACAGGATAGATCTTCATAGACTCCAGTAGATATAATCAATAAGCAACATGATTAATTTTTTCACTAATAAGAAAAATTTCAAGCTTACAATATTCCAACTTGTCAAAAGGATGAATAGTCTTGATATTGTAACAAAGTAGTCATATCTTGTGACCTACATTGAATTGTAGTTGTTTCTTGTGATAGGTATCTATATTGATCTTTTGTTATTCTTGAGCTTCTTTTAATTAAGCCTTTATTGTTGCATATAACTTTGAAAAATAATTTGTCAAATCTTTTGTCACATGATTATGAACTTTTGAAAGATCAAAAGTATCATATCATAAATGATAGCCATAATTGGTAAAAAAAAAAGGTGTTTGTTGAGTAGAAGAAAGTATTGAATTATTGTACGCAAACTTTGCAAATGGCAAAAGGGTTGTCTAATCATCTTGATGATAATTAATGGTACAACTCAAATATTGCTCTAGAATTTGATTCAATTATTTTGTTTATCCATCATTTTGAAGATGAAAAGCCAAAGAGAGATTTATATCCACCTTTAATATCTTCAAAATAATTTTCTAAAATCTTGATATAAATTAAATCTTCTTATCGAATATAATATTCTTGATTAATCTATAAAAGTGATAGATGTTGTCAAGAAAAAGTTAAGTCATTTCTTCACCTATAATAGATTTTGTATATGGTATAAAATATGCCATTTTAGTAAAATAACCTACTATCTTAAATACAAAATCATATGAATCTGAAACTAGAAGATCCATAATAAAATTCATAGAACAAAAAACTATGATTGTTCTGAAATAGGTAATAGCTGAAGAAGTCCATAAGGTCAATGATGAAGAGTTTTGGATCTTAAAAATATATCACATTATTATACAATATCTGTAATTATCTTCTATATTTGAAGCCACTAAAAATCTCTCAATATTACTTCCAAAGTCTTGTTGTATTTAAAATATCTGACTGCTAGAAAGTCATGACGAGTTTGAAGAATATGTAATTGTACCTCATCTTTTAGAATGTATAATTGTTCTTTAAAATAGAATAGGTTGTTTTTGAACTTAAACTTAGAAGTATCATGAGATTTAAAAGAATTATTCTTGATATCATAGAAAAGTAGATTATAAGACATACTTACTTGAATTTGTTTGACAAAGGTTGAATTAATAGTCAATGTTGATTTTATTGTTCAAAGGTGAAAAACCTGTGGCTTCAAGAAAATTATTCTTTGTTGATCAAAAGCTACATCTCCTTCTTTTGGTGTAAAATAAGAATATCTAAAAAAGACATGTGATAAACCTTGTTATTTTTAAGCTCTATAAGTGATCTTGAAATCAAATCTTGATAAAGACATATTCCAATAGGTTTAGTGATGATTCAAAATACGTGCCGATATGAAGTACTTAAGGTTCTTGTAAACCATATATAAAATAAGTAGAGTAGAAGTGTTTTTTAGATAATGATGCCATTCTTAAAATGAATCTATAATTGCAATGAGCTCCTTGTTGTAGATGTCATAATTAATTTTGATTTTTGAATTTTTTTTGGAATGAAAAGCTACTAGATGGAGTTTATTATCTGCTTCTATTGTCACGGACATAATCATGTAAGCTAGTAATTACATATACAAATAGGTAGAAGTAAGTAAAAGTAGCTAAAAGTAAGTTAATTCTATAGTATTTAATATGGAAGGTTCTTAGAAGCATTATAGACGCTGATTTGACTTCATAGGTGTCTTTAATTGACTTTTTGGATTAGAAACGTGGTCAACAAGTTGGTGTCACAGCCATAATCATGTAAGCTAATAATTACATATAGAAATAGGTAGAAGTAAATAAAAGTAGATAAAAATAAGTTAATTCTATAATATTTAATATAGAAGCTTTCTAGAAACTTCCTAGACGCTGCTTTGACTTCATAGGTGTCTTTAATTGACTTTTTGGATTAGAAACGTGGTCAACAAGTTGGCCATGTGCCACACATATTGTTAGCTTGAAGATCAAGCTAACTATGTGGCCTACACGTAGAAAAACTTGCCTTGTAAGTCAAGGCATGTGTCCTACAAAGTCAACACATATTGGAGGTCCTATAGAACGTCGCCACGTAGCCCCTAGTTAGATAGTATATATAGAGACAAGAGTGAAGGCTTCTTCACTCTTGTCAACTCCTTTCTTGCTTCTAGTCCAGGTTTAAGAGTCTTTAGTTTCTTGTCTTTTGGCAATAGCCATTCCAGTTTTCTTTTAATATACCTACTTGTTTATATTTTGACTTATTATA